CTTGACAAGGAAATCAAGTGCAATTTTTTTTCTATATCACCCCAGCCTGCAACTTTTCCCTAGAAACAATATGGCAGCGAGATTTTAGCAGGAGAGTTAAGACATTTCCCTGGTGAAGAGTGAGGAGGAGAAGTTTCCCTTGCTCGCGCCATCCGTGCGTCTCCAGGACGTAGTGCCCAGGAGTGACTCGCGCCGCACAGGGACCCGGCACCGTGACCCGTCTGTGCCCAACACAACTAGAATCCTTCAAACACCACAGACCAGGACTGCGGTTCGGTAACAGAGGCTCTGGGCAATCAAGCAATTTGTCATACAATTTGTCCCCAGATAGTGGGGAACACAACACAGGTTCAGTCTGATGGCAGGGCTGGAGAATTTGGAGGGAACAAGGAGCAGTTTCTCCGTTCTTAAAAGCTGACCTGGACAAGCATTTCCCAGACCCCATTTCCCTCATTAATGGAACGAGACTGATCTGGTTTAGAGATGACTGAGTTTATGAAAATGCCCTTCACGGGGCCACCAGCAAAATTCACACACCGCTCTCTCCACAGCCACCAGGAGCTGTTTCCTTGCGAAGGCCACCTCCTGAGGTGAAACACGTGTTGCCAGCAAGTTCTACCTGTGAATTTTCTACCCGAATTTTCTCCTCCAAATCCTGCCAGTCATGGAGCACCTGAGAGCCGCTGAGCTTTCAGCTTACTGCCCTTCGGAAGCAGACAGTCCCCTGGCCTTGGTAGCACTTTCTCTCTTTTCCCCGGTCACCTCTCTGGTGCTTTCCACAACACTCGGGTTCCTTTCATTTCGGGTGCCACCTCGGTAAGCCCGGGGGAAACAGCCGCTCTCCTCACAGCTCCTGTTGCAGCTCCAGTGATGACCTTCTCCTTCCCCCCATTACACGGTTCTCCCCCACTTCTTCTCCTGCCTCTATTTTCCACCTACTAAGGCCCAGAAAAGCTTTATTCATAACAGGTAAGTGCCTTCAACCAAATACTGAAGCGGGCTCTATGGACTCCCCTTGCAAGATCTAGTGCAAGAACACAGATGTTTTCTAAGGGAGCAGCCCTTTCTCTGTACAGCTGACGTGAGAGCCGCCCATCCTGTACATCCCGGCTTTCTGCAGGGTGCTGTATGAGCAGAGCACGTCCTTTTATATCCCTGAAAATGCAGAACCGCATTCTGGAATCCTTTCCCAGAACCTGATCCTCCTCGCAGAGGGCCAGGTGTCCAGCTGGCACATTTAAAATAGGTGCATCTAGAATGTGCATGCTAAAAGGAGGGGTCTGGAAAAAATAGAAGGGAGGAAAAAAAAAAAAGTTTGTGTAATTGCACCTGGGAAATAAATCTAAACAGCCTTTTCTTAGAAATAAAGATTCTGAAACCACTCCAAAGCTTGGGGAATACAGCTTTTAAAGGCTGCGACCAATGGAATAGCTCTGGAGCCAGGACGGAACTACTCCTCCTGACATCACCGTTAGCTGGAAAAAAATAAAAATAAAAATAAAAATAAAAATAAAAATAGGAGAGAGAGTGTGAAGCAGGAGGAAAGCTGCCACACCACAAGCATTAGTGATGCAGCCCTCGTTACAAGGAGGCCAGCTCAGACCTCAGGCTCTTGCCAGTAGGAAAACAGATACAGGGAAAGGTACCCAAAGGTGCAAGGCGTGGGAGGACTCGGTCCCGCCGGTGGGTGCAGCTCTGTGCAGTGCCCCGACCCTGGTATGGGGGAAAACACTGATGTTCTAAAATATTAAAAACAAAATCCTGGCAGCACAAACTGCAGTTGGAAAAAAAAAAAAAAAGAAGTATGAAGTTTTAGTTCATGCTGCAGGAGAATACAAAAATGACTACCCAGAAGTAGCATGGGCCTTGTTCACATAGTGAACTGTAAATTCCTCAGCAAAAAGCTCTGTTTCAAACCCACTATTTACATAGCTTTGCACTTCACAAAGCATAAAAAGAAAGCAAAACTAGACCTTCAATGACTCTCTCAGAAATGTACTGGAACCAGTTCAGATTTTCTCCTAAATTTTCTGAAAGACAAAGAGCCGCCTGAGTCGCCGCGTGAGCAGTGGGCTCAGGTTCACCTGGCTTCCCTGTAAGTGAAAATGGCTCTTCTGGGGCCTGCGACCCTGCAGGAGGGGCTGCGCGAGCCGCAGCGGCCAGGGGAGCAGGCTTGTTTTGAAGGAATATGCTCCAAACTGGAACTGTCAAAGCAGCTTTGCCCATTAGTCCAGGGCCCTCTAGAACTGAGGCTGACAAGTGAATTGCCTGCCGTTGTTCCAAGCATGTGTTTACCAAACGAAAAAGGTTTAGGAAACTTGAGGGAGGACGTTTTTCCCCTGTATATCGGCATGAATTAAACATTCAAAGGACAGGCCCTACAAGTATTATTCATGGTGGAATTTAATCAAAAGGAACTACCTCATCAGAACTCACCAAAGCAGCACAGAGAGCTGGAAAAGATACGGGAAGAAGCTCTGGAAAGAGAATTTATCCGATTGCTTCTTGGAAGATCTCTCTGTACCTGAAAGCTGTTGTGGTCCAAAGGATGAAACCCTTGGACCCTCCTGAGCAGGACGGAGGCAGGGCCACCTATGGGGCTCCACAAAAGTCTGGCACCAGATTCTAGTTCCCTGGCTACAACCAAAGTCAGGATTTTGGCTCAGGGGAGTCAGCTCCAAGAGCCAGTATGACTAGATGGAGATGCCTCTGAAGGAAGCTGCCCTGGGAATATCTGCTTCCTTTGCGGGATATCCCTCAGCTTGCCAGCCCTATTTGTGTCCCTGCGATCGCACCAGAGCCACCACAGAGCAGGACATCACGTGTCTCAGCAGCAAAACCAGCGTAAGAAAGTCTCACCTCTGAGACCAGCCTCTTGCTCCCCTTCCACAGCAGCGATTGCCACCACGAACCCGCAGCTCAGTCAACCCGGTTTGATGCTGCGCCAGCCCAGCTCCCAGTGCAGTCAACAGGTATTTTTAAGCACTTTTACATAATGTTAGCAGGTCCAGAGACACTTTCACAAAGAACAAGAAGGTCTCAGAATATTATTTAATGTTTAGTATTACACTAAGAGTTTATCAAGAGGACTTCAGCAAATGGGAGCACATGTTTTATTCCTTGAGTACTTTGATCTCTCGCCTTTGCCAGTCTGAATTTGGGATATTCTGGGAACATTAACCAAGGCCAGCAGTGCAAGGATACACTTTAAGAGCTCCGTTTTGCTCAAATTCAAGGCAATGTAATCTTGCCTTCTCTTTCAGCTGGAAAAAGACTGAATCCTGGCAACCTTTGAGATTCAGCAGAACTTTGCCAAGTGCCCTTGGACTCCTAATGCTAATGGAAAAATGACAGCAGGAAAAGACTTTCTTCACGTTCTTAAAAAAGAAAAAAAAAAGTGATCTCCTTAAGGATAATTAACTTTCCTTAACAGAATAAGCAAGTAGCCCCCATCCATTTATATAGAAATCCATATGAAGATACATAGAGAGAGATGGCATCTTTGTTTCTCAAATCATTGCTCTCAAATTTTATTAGAGGCAACTCACAGGATCAGCACCATAAAAGGCTTGCAGGGTGGCTGCAGACAGCTCCGTCTCCGAGTACTTGTACTGGTCCTTTTTTTTTAAGAAGTTAACTATGTGTCATATAGGCTGAGGTTTTAAAACCTGTGTCTGGGATACCCAGAAAAGGTCAAAACTAAGAACTGCTGGTATATTTTTTTAATTATGAGCTGGTTTTAAAGACAGGATTTGGCAGAAGGGAGTCAAATATTTGTGGGCCTTGGTAATTCAAATAATTTGTGAAAGGAAACACTATATTTGCAAACATTGCTCTCTTTTCTAGCATCTCAGAAAATACTTAAATCTTGTGAGAAAAAAAAAGAAGAAGAAGAGAAAAGGAAAAAAAAAAGCAGCTTGATACTCGAATGCACCAAGAAGGTTTATGTGCTGCCCAAATGCATTTTTCCACACTAGCACCCAGGGCCCGATTCCGCATTCCTGGGACACGTAACCCTGAGGGAAACAGCAGCTACTCACAGAATAAAGTCTCAGCTCTCTGAACTGTTTCCTCTGCACAAGCAGCAGAGCAAGTCTGAGGAAAAGCTACCATGCAGATTACATTGAAAAACTATTTTAAGAACCAGAAAAACAATTCAATTTAGGTTAGCCTGACATTTTGTTTGCCTGCTTAAAACAGAAATTTTTAAAAGAAAATAATTTTTAAAGCATTTAAGAGTAAGAACTCAGCTTTAATGGGAATTCTCTCTGTGGGCAGCTAACAGATCCAGAGCTGTGAATTGGCATAGGGGGTCTTTTCTCACAAATAAAACATAAGCTACTCCTGTCACCAAAATACCACATTTGAAAGTGAGATAATTTGTATAAAATAAAGTGGTAGAAGTAACTCACTGAAAACTGAAAGATAGGAAAAAGAAAAAGAAAAAGAAAAAGAAAAAGAAAAAGAAAAAGAAAAAGAAAAAGAAAAAGGAGTAAGGGAAAAAAAAAGGCCTGGAGTCAGTGCATGATTCCCGTAATGGAAGTAAGTAAATAACGAGAATTTAAGGGATCGATTTTCAATAAAACTATTTTCATACGAAGTTGCAGTCTTAAAGAAGTGTTTTTCTTTTGAGGCTGTCGTTTATTTGTTTCCCTTGTACCTCGGAGGGAAAGAAAAAAAAAAAAAGAGAGAGAGCGAGCGAGAAAAGGAAAAAGGGAAAAAATAGAGACCGCCACCTGTACGGGACGTGGGAGACCGGCGCTACACACAGAATCGAGGACACGACGGTCCCTGCGCGCCCTTTGCGCGGCGGCGGCTCCAGCAGCGCTGGGAGCGCGGGGGGCGGCGGGCACGGGCTGCGCGGGCACGCAGGGACACGGGCTGCGCGGGCACACGGGGACGAGAAGCGCAGCCCGAACAAGCGCCCGCCGGGTCCGAGCGGCCGGCGAACCCACGAACTAACGGGAATGGGAGCCGCGGGCGCGGGGGGTGCCGCGTACCTGCGTTTTGGAGGGTCTCGATGTTCTGCGCGCGGGAGGCGAGCTCGGCCACGGCCTGCACGAACTGCGTCCGGGCGCGCTGGTACTGCTCGAACACTGCAGGGCCCCGCCGTCAGAGCCCGGCACCGGCA